CTTGGCATTTATCGTAGGCCTTGAAAAGTGTTCTATTTTGTTTTAGGCTGTCTTCTTTCAGACCACATCTTCCTTGGGGAAGAGGTAGATGCCAAATATCTTCACTTCATGCATATTTCAAATATACCGTGTTGGAGTGAACAGAGGACATGATACTCTATAGCGCTAAAGTCAAAAAGAATCACTAAGAGGCAAAACAAAAAAAACTGGGAAAGTCAGCCTCTTACATTCTATAATCAAGCTTTGTCATTAAACATCGTGAGTTTCAATCTTGCCCTATAAAAACCAGTGGAATGTGAACACCATAAGCAACTAGAAGACGAATGAAACATTTTGAGTGAGCCCATTTTCGTTCTTTCAGTCATGTTACTTTGCACAATGCTGATTTAATGAATATGGCTCAGTTTGATTTAGAGAATTGGAGTACTTGGCTCATTTTTTATTAGAAACTGCTTTTTTAAGTTCATGTTACGATGAAAAAATTGCTCCATTTAATTAAAACTGTTCTAGGAGTTGAAGATACTTAGGCATGCTTTACGTTCCCGTGAAATTCAGCCTAAATTTGGTTCCTGCATTTGGCTTTTTTTGAAAAAAAAAAATGTCTTATATATAGGCAACATAGTTTTTCAATTTTCAATTATAATGATCGCACGTATTTTGCCAATTCACATATCTTTACGTAGATAGGCTAATTCCTTACGTGAAAGGGCAGTCGACAGTTTAGAAAAGTTATCTGCCAGCCTATCAATCATTTCAGCCTCGATTACTTCGCCGGTCAGCTGACCAAGCTGGCACCAACAACTCATGAAAAAGCAGCATTCACATAGTATAGACATCATCACTTGCACTGTCACTTGAATTACTGCAATGCCTGCAGCAGGCATCGAGCAACCCCCCACTTCCCTTTTTTTCTGACGCTGTAGCAGTGTTTCTTTGAACGTTCATTTACGCACGGCCCACTTTTACCCAGATAATTCTTGCCACGTGTCAACGGAAGTTTGTACACAACTGTGTCATTGTACTCTATAAAACTATTTTTATGCTTTGTTTTACATTCCTGCTTGTTCGATGAGGCAGGTCTGGTTAGTCTGCACATACTCTGCGATTTGTGGGAGCAGGGAACACGACTTTTATGTTTGCTCGTGGTCCTATTCTCTCTAGTCGGTGTGATAACCCTTAGATATAAGGTAGGACTGTCACTTTTCTTGTATCAGCTGGGAGCTGGCTGCTGAGAGGTGGTCTCAACCAAACCTGCCTCATCAGAATAAAAAGGATGCTATTGTTTGCCTCCTGTCGCAGGAGCATGGCTCAGTGCCTTTAGGAATAGGGAGGAGGAAGTAGATTTGATAGGAAGAAGAGAAAAAAAGAAACGTTACAGGCATGGCAAGAGAGTATTTTCAGCACAGTCGGTAGTAAAAGCCATAAAGCAGAGAGATCCGCAGAAGCTCAAAGCTTAAAAAAGGCTTGAAGGGCTTGCATCTTCGAATGGGTGGGAAAAAAGATGTTCTCTGCAGGGCAGGAGCAAATTACATGCTCAAGCGTTTCGTCGTCGCCACATATTTGGCACTCGGACAATGAAGATCGACCCATGAAATACATAAGTGCCGTAGGTCAGGCGCTGCCAGTACAGAGGCAAACTGACAACCACTGTTCACATCAGTTCAGGCTGGAGGGGGGGGGGGGGGGGGGCGGCAGTGACTTCCTGCTTGCCACCCGCGTGTCAGGGTGGGCCGTTGGTAGGAGCAATCACAGTTGTTGCTGGGAGTAAACTGACTGAGCTACTGCCTTGGTGACTGGGGTGGTGCCGTGGTATGCTGCCTAGGTGGCAGTGGCGGCCTCTTTGTTGCCAGCTATGCCAATATGCTAGGGAACCCGGTGGAAGGACAGATGCACACCACTAGCCTTTTCGCTGTTACTTTGGCGTGCAGCAATACCAAAAGGAAGCCTGCTTGGTCTGGTTGGAGTAGCGCTTGTAGGGCTGGCTGGTAGTGAAACCAGCCTATTCATCTGTAGTGGAGTTGGTATGGAAGGGAAGGCAGCACCGGATGGTTGTCCCAGTTGAAAGTATAACACAGGCTGCCATGGAGCTGTCCCGAACAGAGCCATTCGCGAACACCAATATAGCAGTCCGCGACAGGCTGCCAAGACTTATTTGGAAGCCTGTTTTGAAGTTTTTCCACCACTTGCTGGTGGAGCTCGCTCACCGGTGTGCACCTTTTGCTAAGGTTTCCCAGCCCTAAATGTACATCGAGAGGCTGCTGGTGAGATGGAGGGGGCTGGATAGGACAGGGAGGCTTAGTCACCAGTTCTTCATAGAGTGCACATATCTGTGCCATTCGTGAAACTGGTCGACTCTGTAATCTTTGAACGAAGGCAGCGCCTCCAGGGGAGTTTCACCATGGCGCCTGGTGGAGCTCACACGCCATTGTTCCCCTTTTGCTGAGGTTTTTCAGTCCTAAATGCATGTTGAAAGGCTGCAGTGGAAAAAGCCGAATAGGGCATGAAAAGCCGAATAGGGCATGGAACCTCGAGCCCTAGTTCTTCATAGAGAGCGCAGATTTCTGCCTTTTGTGATGCTGATTGGTAGTCTCCGAAGGAAGGCAGTTCTCCCAGTGGCCCTGTGAAGACGATCCACATGATTTAGTGCATGTCTCAGCATAAGGGGTAACAGAGACCAAGTTTGTGCCTTTGCCAACGTTGCTGCCACAAGCAACTGGCGTGGGAGTCCCTTGAGGCATTGAACTGCCGTGTGGTGCCAGCTGCATCATGAGCAGTATGTAAGTTTGTGCTGCCGTTACAGCCCCCACACAGCCCATACGAAACGAATGACCATGTCTTGGCGCACCACTAAGGCAGCTGCGTTGATTCAACACTTTCATTTATCATCATTAATTATTGCCATTATGAGCACGTTATTCTTGTTATTCAATACTTTCATCATCACCGTTATATCATCATTAAAGGTCTATTTACTTGCCCATAAGTCTGTAGATGCCCATGGACCATAGATCTTACTTGTCCATAAGCTAGAGCAATGAAAATTTTCGCTCTAAATATAGGCAGGTCTGAGTGGGATTTCAACCGAGGAGGACGCAAGTTTTTTTGCCCTCCCATTCTTTTGTTCATAGCAGCTCTGCACTTAATGAAAGGCCATCGCAAGAAAGTGAACCAGCAGGAAGCCATCCCAGCAACATTGGCATAGTCATTGGGGCCCATACAGCAGGAGCAGTAGCCGCCGAAGCCGGCACGCTCCAAAAAGAAAAACTTGCCTCAGGAGAAAGGGCTCTGGCACCCTCTTTCAGGCTGTGAGAGAATGAAATGTGCAAACCGGCTTTTCCTTCTCGCCTGCTACTGTCCTAGCTTCATGCGAAGGACTCCCTCCTTGTAGCAACAGCATCTCTCTTCTCCTAACTCCATCGACCGCCAAGCAAATGGCGCCCTTCCTAAGTGCGCGCATGCATGCAAGCACTTCACCGTGCTCTCATTGGAGCCACCAAGATCTCCAAGCCTGCGGATATTTAATGCCGAAAAACCAAGTGGCCAGGATTATCTTTCGACCTGTCGGGAAAAAGGCCAACTTCCTGGCTGTGTCGAAGGACTCGGTCGCTGCATTTTTCTCGGGATTTCTAACTGCCCGATGCATTCCGGTGAATTTCAAACACAACCTACTTGCAGTTGACACGCACCCCACTGCCGTTCTAACCGCCCTGCTGCAGGTCGGGATAATCTGCGAGATAGAAGTCTGGTCCAAGCAACTGGATCTCAACAACTGTGTTGGCATGATCTTCTGAGTGGACCCGTTCATACCATTTGAGGACCTAGCCATTAACATTGCTTCACCAGTGCCACTTGCTTCCGGTGTTTGTAGAGACAAATGCCTCACACTCACCTATCCATTGACCACCATTCCCCCTGACATCCTGCTGTACGCCCCACCTGTCAATGCCAGCCCCGGCCCCTAAAGTGTTCCCACTGCAGCCGCTACGGGAACACAAAAGCCACTTGCTCGCAAGACGAATGGTGCCTGTGCTGCAGGGTCAAGCACTCCCCAGGACCATGTGCAGCTGAACAACTGTGCAGCATCAACTGTAACGGAAAAAATACCCGCATATCCACGTAGTGAATCACAATGAAGGAGCCTGCTCTAGAGGTTAGATACGGTAAACCATGAATCTTCTTTACATATGCTCAATCATCATCATATAAAGACGTGACACGAGAGTTTGTTGTGGTGTGATTGTATATACATACACGTTATATACACAGTTTTTTTTTTTTTTTGAAGAGCCACGCCACACGCTCTAATGCCTGCACACAAGCATGTTATACCATCTGCTGTTTTGGCCAGCCATTCCCCTATGCATCCGTTGTCTTGTCGCCATTTTGGCATCTCATTATGGCACGCTCTTTGTGGTTCATTATTTGGCCCTTACTGACAATGCAACAAGACCTCAGTGGTTCGTGGCAAGTCACTGCGTGACAAGTTCTTTCTTGGTTCGTTCACACGTGTGTTTTCTCAATGCATTGTTTTTCTCTAAGAGACCTAGAAAACATGTTTTGCTCTAGCTTTGATTTTTTTACTTTTTTACAGAAGGAATGGCAGCTATGTAAAATAAAATTAAATATTTGGGACCATACAGGGTGATGAAGTAAGATTGTCAGTTACCGATTCATTTTCAAAACAATTATATTTTATTATTTCACTAGAGACAGTCGAGGATTTTCAATGCATTTTACTTGTTTTAGAAAAACTCAGCCTGAAAAAATGAACTGCCAAGTAAACACTGACCTTCCAAATTAAGTGTGAACGAAAAGTTGCCTTTATGAACCACCTGTCAGATTGCCACGAAGGTGCTAAGTTCACATCACTAAAGTGGCTACTGAATGAAAAATTTATTTACAGTGTTAGCCTGCAAAGCTATTTAGTTCTGGACATGTCTTAATTAATTGCTATCAATTAAATTGCATTCACATGAGCATAAGGCTTTGACTCACTGCAGCAGGACACCCAGTTACAAACGTCTGCACTGAACTGCCTGGAGGTGGTGCTACCTTATGCACAGATTTTGGCTGATATGGGTGAGTTGTACTCTGCCACTGCATCATTTCTGACATGCACTCTTGTTTCTTGGAAAATCTTTGCTTTTATATGTACGTCTATCTTAGTCATGCCCTTTGATGACACAGTCTGTGTAAATGTTTTGTAAACTCACTTATGTGGTTAGGTTTTATATCAGACGATGGTAGATTAAGTTAAGTTTGAAAGTTGCAGGTTTAGTTTCTGCAGGCGGTGAATTGTATTTTCGTGCCATTTACTCTTTTCACACCTCCCATTTACTCATCTTCAGTTTACCTGGAATCACAGTTTTACTCATGCCTATTTAAGCGTATTCCATAGCTGTGTCATTTATACACTGTTTGAGTATTTATTGATCAGAGGCACAAATTACGTAAGGGGGTGCTTTGGCCACCTCTTTTAGGGAAGTTCTTAGTAAACATTTTTTATGTTGTCATCACTTTAAAAAAATTGTCTCACTAGTTTGAGAGCACTCGCAACATCGCAGTAGAACTCTGTTGTTACGTTCCTCACTGCTGCATTTTCTCAGCTGTTATGTTGTCTTTCTTCGTTCCCGGCATAGCTCCCATAGAATCCCATGTATTGCGAACCCCGCTGTTACGTCACAACTGTGAGAACGTTCTTGCTCGACGCCTCGCGTCCAAGTCTGCCGAACCCGCCAGGGCGCTGCCATTTTTATTTGACGTTTGACAGTCTTCGCTTGGCTTGGCTGCGGAACAGGCTGCAAAAAGCCACAGGCAAGTTGGAGAGCCCACCCCTAGATGGCCTTTTGTGAAAAATGCTATCACCATCATCACTGTGCTTGCAATGAAAGTTTCACTACGGAATATTTACTCAGAAGTAATAATAATATTTACTCAGAAATAAGTAATATTTACTCAGAAACTTTTGGAGCCCTTAAGAGTTAACCTTTGGGAAACACTTGTGCTCAACACTGTAGATGCAATCAGGATAGCATTTGACGATATATATCCCAAGAATGCAAAAAATTTACCATATCAGTATATAAATGGCATTTTGGAAGATCATTTGGCCAATCTAGAAACATCCATGGTGATAGCGACTAACGCTTCAGTTTATGAAGAGAAGGCTGGCGTAGGAATTGTATCATTCTCTCTAGATTGGGCTTTTTCAATTCGATTACCCGACTTTACACCTATTTACCAAGCTGAACTACTGGCAATAGTCCTTGCATTGCGCAAAGTGCCGCAAGATATATCAGCGGTTATTGTTCTAACAGACTGTCTCTCGGTCTGTACTGCCTTAATCTCACCAAATTTTTCGCGTACCTTAGAAACTTTCTACTCGCTCATTCCTACACATGTGCGACTCGTCCGACTAGTTTGGGTATCAGGCCATAGAGGTTTAGCTCTGAAAGAGCATGCAGATGCACTAGCTGTATCTTCCCTTGATTGTCCTGTTTTACCTATTTTGCCTACTTCGGAATATATCACAGCAGCACCCTTTGAAAAACGCACAACGGCCAATAACTTTGCAAAATCTCCTTTGTTTGTATCAGACTTCCCACAGCTAAAGTTCCCTTGGAAGAACAAGTGGTGTTCATCAAGAAAGGAAGAAATAGTGATTACCAGGCTGCGTTGTCGAGTCCCCTCATTGAACTTTTACCTTCACAGGTCGGGTCTGGCACAGTCACCTTTGTGCCTTTATTGTAATGAGAGAGAATCTTTGGAGCACTTCTTTTTGTCATGCCAAAAATTCAAAACTCAAAGGGAAAATCTACTAGAAGAACCCCTACGAAAGTTGGGCTTAAACTTGACACTTCCGGTGATTCTTTCATTTGGCGCCACGGAGGAAGGAAAGGACCTTTCCTTCCTTCATGTTTGGCGCAGTCGCATTTGGATTCAGCCACAGGAGCGTTTTTACCGCTGTTACAAATTTCTTACGAGAATCTAAAAGAATGGAATGCTAATAATAAGTAACTTCAGTTGTTTTATGTATAATTTTTTTTGTATGTTTATACGTTTTCTTTTCAAGGTTTTTTTAGAAATTTAACACCTTTTTATTATTACCTATATTACCTAAGTAATCCAACCCTCTCTTTCAAGAAGTGAAATAATTTGAAAAGCAAGGCACCGTCCCATTCATGGCCTATCCCCCTAGGTGGGTCAACTGGTAGGTGTTCTGTGGGTGGGTTGCGCCAAAGTGTTGAGGAACCAACCAACCAACCAACCACTATGGAATGCCGCAACTGCGTGGCAGTCGTACCGCCGCACATTGCGTTGTGACTCGTCTTCAGTCACAGTTGTGTGCGCTAATCCTGTTACCGTTGAACTTGTCAACGCAATCTTTGTCAAGTCTTTATGGCGTCACGTAAGCAGAAAGCACTTTCCCTTGAGAAAACGCTGGATGTACTTAAAGCAATCGGCAAGCAGGCAGCGCGAAAAAGAATGGACGTTGCCAAAGATGTTGGAAAGCCACCGTCAACTCTCAACAGCATCATCTCGAAGTGTACTGAGATTGAAGGGAATGCCGCTTTCTTCAGCCTGAAAGCCAAGCAAGCTCGTGGCGCCAAGCACAAGAACCTGGACGAGGTTCTTCTCACCTGATCATGCAAGCTTGCGCTGCCGGTATCAACTTCGACAGCAGCATTTTATGGGAGAATGCGATAGAAATTGCTGACAAACTGGGCATTGTATTTTGCGGTGTAAAATGGCTGAATCGACCATTTCCGCAAGAGGCACGTCATCGCTTAGAAAACAGTCAAAGTGGCGGACAATCACAGAGATCATTGCAAACTCAATCGCAACTGAAGACGGGGACATCGATGACGACGACAAGCACAAGCCTTATGATTTTGTAGAGTTGGCAGTGGAGTCAGCCGATCTCAACTTTGGAGAAGCCGTCGCGGCCCTAGACTACCTTTGCAGGTATGTAGCACACCAAAGTGACGCTGAAAGCAATGCCATCTTCCAAATTGTTGAGAAGGGTGTGGTGCTTAGCAGCGAGCAAAAGAAGCGGCAGTCAACTATCGTCGAATATTTTAAGTCTGAGGCTCACCTTGCCGAAATACATTATTTGTAGTCAAGTACCTGTGCTCTGATTGATTTTCGGTGCTTTTCTCACTCTTGCGTTTTCTCGTTTGTTGCATTTTTCTTACCCGGTTCGCTGAAAAACGTATGAATGGGGTTCCACTGTATATAGAGGTACCATATTGAAAGGAGCGAAGAAAAGAACCAATTACATGATATTGGTGTTAAAGAGCGTTGACATTATGGTCAAAAAAGATACTTTTGACCTAACGAACTTTTCATCTACTCCCTTCTCGCCGGATACAATAAAATAGTGGAGCCAACCAGAAGATGTTTCGAAGTCTGTTATATTCTGCATTATCGAAAAGCGTTGCACCTCCTTATGAAACTTGGGGTGTGACAGGGACATGTTCAATGCTTTGTTCTTAAACCATATCAGTACCTCTGAGTCATCTAATAAAAGTCACTAAGGCGCAGTCACTTTTTTGAGGGGGTAAGTTGTGATTGAACCTCGTAGTACTTTATTCTTTTCAGTTAGCGTCAGTTTTATTAGTTGCATAAGCATCAACTACATAACACTTTTATACAGATGATGGTTCCAAAGTATGAATACGTAAAAATGGGAGCTGCGATTAGGAATTACAACAAAAGTGAATTGAAAACAATTGCCTAACAAGAAAATAGCACGTGGGAATAATAATCTCATACAAGGCAAAACAAGCAGCATCATGCTAGAACAGCTGAAACAAAAAAGGAAACAATATTATAAAACAAAAGCCACAATGGGAAATATAACATAAAAAGCAATGCAATGCACAGTCAAATACGGTACACAGAAGCAATGCAGAATAAAAGTAGAAAATGTGCACAAAAGAAATGAAAATGACAAAAATGAAAATTTTACATGGCAAACAGGAATGAACACACAAAATAAATGAGGACAAGTGGAAAAAATATATATACTATAACATAGTGAAGCAATCAGGAGTTAAAAGGAAAGATTTTATTGATGTTTTGAAAAGTGAAAATGGGGGGGGGGGGGGGACAGCTTTAAGTTTAGCCAGCAATTATATTAAAGATGATTGGTAGAGAATTTAGATGTTTTCTTACTGTAGTTGTGCGAATAGGTGGTAGCAACTAATTATGATTAAAAACAAACGTGGTGGGGTTAGTATTCTCGAAAGAGCTGCATTCAATATATTAGCAGGGAATTAAGTAACTTTTAAATCATTATACTTATATTATACTGAAATAACTTTTTAACAGATAAAATTTTGTGCTAATTAAGCAGGCTAAAGGCATCTGAATGTGAAGAACTGTAAGTTATGATGCGCATGGCTCAATTTTGTATATGTTGGATGGAACGAAGATAACAATGATAGGTGTTACCCATGCAATGCCACCGTAGTTAATGTGCAAATGAATAAATGCAAAGTACAGTGAAAGCAATGCGATATCTCAATCTGAATGTCTCAATCGTTCAGGATCCTGGCCATTGCACAATGCGCTATTGTTGTTGCTTGGCCAAAACAGCCTACTTGTTGCCTTTGTCCAAATTGCTGAAAGATATCCGTTTTCAGACTTAGCGAAAACTATTTCCGTTTCTTCACAGGAGGGAGAGATGAGAGCATTGCAGCACCGCTGCATAATGGCAACTTGCATTATGGATGCGATATATAAACACCAAAAAAACTTGGATACATCTGGCACGGTTGAGAGCATGTGCGTGCAGAAGTGAAAAAGGAATGAAAAACTTCGTGCCACAGCAATTGCGGCTCTCGTCGCCTCCTCCAGAGAAAAGTAAACACTTTAAAAAAGTTCTCATCTTTTGTCTTTTGCTCCCACGCTATTGCAAGTTTTCTGAGCCCATGCTTCCTGCCTCCTGCTGCTCTGCCTCCCTGTCCTCACCTTCAGCTTTGTGCACGTAAAACCTGCAGCGTTGTCGTTTCAACAGGAAAAGGAAAAAGAAAAAAAAGTGGCTCACCCCTTATCTAGGATCTAGGAATCAATAT